GCATGGCCGGAGACAGTCCTATCTGCCACTGATAATGCAATAAGCTCTCTCGTTGTAATTCGTAGTGTCTCCTTGGTTATATGCTGGTATCCAAAGAGCACCGTAGGGCATCCCCTCTTCTCACTATACACGCAACCATCGAATGCAAACTGTGCAACCTGGCCGTGAACAAGGATATAGCTGGGAGCCAGCTCGTAGTGTTCCAAGAAGCTTATATTATCATTCGCGAATCCACCGAAGGTATCCTCCCGGAATGCCTCATATGTAGGCCATATAACAGTCAGAGTATAAATCGTCGAAAAAATTGAGGCTTAGGTTAACCGGGGAATGGCTCGATATGTAGCCTTCTCACCAGGCCATTGCTATAAAATTACATTATATCTTTCAAAAGGATAGCCCCGTATAGAAGCTCCGGGCTTGCAGATGTTACGGCCTCTTTTTGACCCATGTTTGGGAGTCATCCAGATTGCAAGTCCGGCTGACACATCTATGGGATGCATTACGAGCTCTTCATGAGACACCCTCCGCGCCGCTTGGAACAACTGGTGCCGTTGGAGTCAAAAAGGCCCCGAATATATTGTTCTCGATTGTAAATAGAGCCCTCCACAGCAACGTCTTTGCAGAAGCTACATTTGGTGCCTTGAGCTTGACATTCTGCGGACATGGTTGCGATGCCAATACATCCAGTACTGAAGACCAAGTACGATCAAGCGACGCAATAGTATATTCTGGATACCTGGGCAACACTTGGAGAAGACTTTCAAGCCCGCGCTCTTGGCATGCATATCTAGCTCGCCTTGGGTCTGAACCTCAGTGCCCCACCATGGACAACAGGCGGGGGTAGTTAAGCTTGAACAGTCAATCTATCATATACCATGTATCCAGATACAAGCCTCAAGATATATAGCTAACACGGCTAGGACCCAGGAAAGCTGCAGGAACGAATGAGTTTTATAGTGTTCCTTGCTAATCAGTCTACTAGGGTATAGGCTTATAGCTACGTCTTCCCACTAGAGCTGATAGACATGACAGCTTTATGCTGTCCGTAATATCTGTATGGGCTGTTTGATATAAACATTCGCATAGGCTAGAAATATCATTGCTTTTCTCAAATTCGCATGGTTCGACATATATTTTCTTAGGATTAGGGCACTAGAAGTGGCGAGACTTGCCAAAACCTGACTAATGAGCCATCCATCACATAATGCGGGGAAGATAGACAACCTCACAAATAAGCAACAAACCCTCCTCTTTCTACTACCAGCCTTCATTCAACCAAGTTCCATTACTTCCAGACTCGTTACTAAAATGCCCACTGCAAAAGCAACTATAAACGGCACCCTTCTCGCCGAAACCTCTACCTGGGAGGAAGTCGAAGGAAATATTTACGTGCGATCTTAACTCCTTATCCCTGCAGTTGATATCAATCTGATGATTGATGCTATAGTTCCCCCCATCGGCAATTCAGGAGTCCTTTTTCATCAAGTCCGACCACACGACATACTGTGGGTGGAAGGGAGACGCGAAGTACTTTTCTATTGCTCTTGGAGGTATCACTTGGCTTGGTATCTTAGTACTATCGCCAGAAACATTCTGATATTGGTAGATGTGACGGTTCCAAATGCAGCATGGTATTATCCAGAGCCGTTTGATGAGGCGAAGCATATCAAGGATTTTGTAGCTTTCTGTAAGTTTGACATTAATCCTTTTGCTTCTATCGCTCTCTCCTCTCTATAGCAATCGCGCTCCCGGTCAATCTCTTCTCGATTCTAATCCATGGTAGATCCTAATAAGATCGAGGTTACGGTTGAATGATTTGTCATTGATTATGGACAAAAGGAGTGAACTATGTGGCGTGTTAACTATGATAAAGTTGAATACAAAGGCTACAGATGCGAATTCAACATGTGGCGAACCATATCCCTCTACTACATCATTAACCCCCAAGTCAAAAGTCAGGAGACATAAATATCGAGCGCCATCCATATTACGACTATTTTGAGAGACCTTATGAAGAATTCTGTAGGCGCTACTATTTTGTTCGTGGCTATCATGAAGTGGATTAAATGGACTGTGCAGGAGCATCATGTTCACCAAGTGCACAGAACGATGTACTCCCTCCGAGGGCGCGTCTCCACACGTGTTGCTGGAAAGCCAGTCTCCGAATGGGTTGTTGTTATAGGAGCCATTCCCTCCCCCCTAAGTGTATATTCTCCGGTCAACGTGAGTGTAGGGACGCTATCCCTTGACTTTGTATTGCCCATCAGCCAGGCACAGTGGCATTAGTCAACTCGGTCAACAACCCCGTCCAATCAGTATCGTCCAGGTCGAGATTCGCACCGTTGTCGAGCATCTCAGACCATATATCTTCCAATTGCCTCTGGCCCGTATCATCCACATTGTTAGGGAAGTCACTCGGTGGATCCAATTCGATCGTGGTTGCTGGTGTATAGCTGGCTCTGGATGTGGAAGGCAAGGGTTGCTTCGACGCATCAAAAGATGCCGGGTTTACACTTGAAGATGGATTGCGCTTTGGAGAAGCAGCCAGCTTGCCATGCTTCCAGTGCTTTTGCAGCACACTCATCATGGCATTGATACCCTCTTTCACCAGTGAAGATGATAGCTGAGCGTTACTGAGCATGTGACAGGCATCGAGCACTTCCTCCTTTCGCTTCTCAGCTAATATATCGTCCCAGTTAAAACACACATCCAGCAGCAAGATCACTGCAGCCATGAATACGTGATGCATAACAGACCAGACCACTGAGCTTGGCGGTGTGAACTTTGGTTCGTCTTCGTCCATGATTTTTTTTATCTCGAGAACCTTTCGCGCAGATTGGAGGCATACAATATGGGAATAGGAATAAAGCGGCTCACGAGCTCCGCGGATGAAAAACTGCCGATGTAGACGACACAGGCGTGAAAAGTATGCTTGTTGTAGGAGACATCTTTGCCATGCAATTGTGGGGCGACTCTGGTACAGAGAAGCGAATCGACGCCTGGAGCTCGGATCAAGGCGGAAGAACTCTGGGATCTCCGCAAGGGCTTGGTGAAACTTTCTGTCGAGCTCAAGAATCTTCTGGTAGCTGACTTCTATACCATATAGGTGTTCGTGGGATGTAGCGTCGATGACTTCACGACATACGATACCAAGCTTGAGTCGCTCGAGAGAAAAGGACATGTCCGTTGGTGTTGTGCTTGGTCGGGATAATCCTCCACCTCCTTCGAATTCGTTATCGTCAAGATTGAGAGGCCGGTCTACCTTCATGTGCTCTGGGTTGATCAGGTAGGTCCACTCTTGAGGACCGCTCAAGAATCCGAGGAACCTGGAAATATTGCAGTTAGAGACAGCCAGATATAATGCCAAAGGAATCAGACCCTACCAGTCGTATGATGCGATGTCCCACCAAAGCCGCCTTTTCGTCTCTAGCTCCACCGCATCCGATGGATTAGCCTCCCTTTCTTCCCGTAATCGTGGTGAATCGATCCAATGCAGCTTGAGATTCTTTGCCTGACTGATAACGGCACCGAGTATGAAGAGACCACTGACTGATGGATGGCAGCTAATATTGGATGCGTGGTGCATGATGACCATAGCTGCTTGCAAACCCTCGACGGTGGGGTTAAGTGGGTAGTTGCTCTGAATCAAGGCGGCGCCCGTCAAAAACGAGAACTCGCGACTGCAAAGCTCTGCATGAATAGAAGACTCCATGGATAGTTGCAAAAACAACGAACTGGCGGCAATACTGAAAAGGAGGGCCAAATGGTTCAAATTTGGTGGTTGGCCCCTTTCAATCGCTTGGTAGATACCATCTATCTGAGCCTCCACGCGCTTAGGAAATATGATATGGTAAAGGTAGTCAATATAGTTAGTATAATATCGGAACAGTGCCATGGCCTCGTGCTTATGGGGGAGAAACGATTGTAAATTGATTGTCCCAGGATTCTCCCGCGAGGCATTCCAACTTCGGCAGGAAACCGGGAGCAATGTTCCTGGAGGAACACGATCGTCCTTATTCCGCAGCTCATCAAGTTCATCTCTCAACAACTTGGGTGTCGCTGTTGGCACTCGGTCACCCATGTGAATGTTCTCTAGCCAGTCCGCTGTCCACAGTGATTCCCGGTTGCGGTACGATGGCTGCGAGTTCGTAACAGGGTGTGTATCCACACTTCGCATCTCCTGGAGCTCGGGTGTGTCTCCTTGGCCAGTTATGGCTGCTTCCCTTCGGCTTCCATCTTCTAATCCTACATTATGTGTGTCCGCCGCGGCCGGGACAATGGCATAGCTGCATGGCAGTCTCCGAGTGATGCAACTACTGCATGGCTGTTGTCGATTGCATTTCAGTTTTTTGCGCCTGCATGATTCACAGGACACTGGGTCCTGCCTTGTGACACGTTTCCGAGGCTTCTGGTGCAGCTCTGGTCCAATTCTACGCTTCATTTCGGGAGTTGTTGACAGATGTCGTGAGTCGTGGGATCTCGGCCAATTACCGGGAGGGCGGGTCACGTGCATCATAGTTATGTTATCACGCACGAACAACAATCGAAAGAAACAACGATATTGCACAGAGATTGGCAAAGGTGAACGATTTTCCAGAGCGGAACAAGTGAGGGCTCCGCTACAGTATTTGTCCAGATTTCTAGAATGCTTTTATCGATTAATATCAACAGTTTACCGCTTCCGAGCCCTCTCGGAGCTTCCGTGGATACTCCGCCCAGAGGCGACGACGAAGCCAGGAGGCTTGTTCAGGGTTAAGAAACCTAACGACCCAGGCATTTTGTTACATGTGTCTCCACAGACGCTCCGAGTTGCTTACTATGGTTCTACCGCTGATGGCTACCTTAGATAGTATACATACCGTTCCTAGCCAGTTGCAATGGCATTGTTCTGTGGGCGAATCGCGACAGAACACCCTTGGCATCTTCTCAACTGGAAGAAGAACGTGCCCTAAGAGAACCCTAAGAGAAGGAAGCTCGTTCGAGCGTATCAATTTAGTACAATGGCCAAGGACAATTCAACACCACCGGACCAGGAACCTCCCAGCGAGTATACGTATGTCGTGTCGCAGAAGGTTATCGATAAATTGTGCAATAGCTGACTGAGCTTCACAGACCACAGGCATGTTTAACAATTTTGGGCTCATTCACTGGTCTATTCTGCACAGTGGGGTTCATGAACTCATTCGGGGTCTTTCAAGAATACTATGGCAAAGGGCAGCTCGCCGACAAGTCCGAATCAACGATTGCATGGCTAGGCGCGATCAGCATCTTTTGCATTTTCTTCATCTCGGTATTTTCTGGCCAGTTGCTTGATATGTTTGGACCTACTGTTAGTCAACTTCCCTGATAGTCACAAAGGAATAACTAATATTGGATTCAGTTGATGCTCTGTGTGGGCTCGCTAGGCACCGTGTTCTCACTCATGATGGTGTCGCTCTGCAAGGAGTTTTACCAGTTCATACTCGCGCAAGGGATCCTTCTCGGAATTTCATTCGCTTTACTAGCATGTCCAATGCTCGCCCTCGTGGGGCAACACATCAAGGTGAAGCGCGGCGCAGCGCTGGGTATAGTGCTCGGTGGCTCGTCTCTTGGAGGCGTGATATGGCCTATTGCCATCAACGAACTCCTTCAGAAACCAAACATAGGATTTGGATGGACGATGCGGATCGTCGCGTTTATAATGATTCCTTTATTATCTGTCTCCTGCATATGCTGTCGGCCACCTAAAATAAGCCTTACTCCGACTCAACGACGCGCGTCTGATGAAGGAAAGGCCACGATACCCGAGGCCAAACCATCCGTTCCTAGAACGGACTTTTCGGTTCTCAAAAAGCCCAGTCTCCAGTTATCCTGCCTCGCATTTTTCATCATCTACTTCGGGATGTTTTCTCCGTTTTTCTTCACAACCTCCTACGCGGTTGCGAAAGGGTTTTCAACCGACCTAGCGTTTTATACCATCTCGATCGTTAATGGCGCTTCCTTCTTTGGTCGCGTTCTTCCTGGTATTGTCGCAGACCGGTATGGAAAGTTCAACTGTTGCATCATCTTTACCTTCTTCTCTGGCATCATCGCTCTCTGCTGGACGAAAGCGACCTCCGTGGCTGGCCTGGTTATGTTTTCTCTCGCATATGGGTTTTCATCAGGAGTAAGTTCTTCCAATCGGATAAAACTATATAACCAAGGCTAACGGATATGCATGCAGGCTATCCTTTCCCTCCAGCAAGCCTGCGCAGTGCAAGTCGCCACGCCACAAACAATTGGTTTAACTATGGGTACCGTCATGGCAGCCACATCTTTCTCGTAAGGCCCGGACATGCTTCGAATTATTGTACCCCAACTAACATATAAACAGAGCCTTGGCCGGAGTCCCTATTAGCGGTGAACTGGCGGGTAAATACGGATATCTAGCACTGTCCATCTACTCAGGCGTGAGTCTCTTGGCAGGGAGTGTTCTATTGGCGGCGGCGCGTTTCGTACAGAGTAGGAAGTTGTTGGCTATTGTATAGAGACCTTATGGTGGGATATTTGATGTTCTAGTATTCTTTAAAGATGCCTATGCAATATTGATAGGCTTTGATTTTATTATGGCCAACCGGCAGTCATAGATCGTATAATATATCATTCGCTCCGCTCTCTCGGTGTATTCATGAACTCGAGGTAGCAAAACTCCTCCAGAAAACCTAAGATCAAAGAGATGATTATGGATCATCAAACCAATCATTCAAAAGCTATGCTGGGCAACTTTCTCGGAGACCGATATACGTCAGATAACGGCCAATGTCATCTCCGACGGCATATCGACCTCATGAAAATACACAGCAGCAACAAGCGAAAAAGCCTGAAGCTATCAAATACCTCAGACACTACGTAAAACACCTGACACAAGGAAGGAAAGCAACTTACTCTGTTCTCAGTAATTGCCCAACGACGAGTCGTCCCATCTATCCTCTTCGGAAAGTACACATCGAGCCTCTTCAGGCGGTTGCCAGCGCCCCAGATATCCAGGAGCCTTAGCACGAATATCTCAGCCGAAGAGTCGCATATTGAATCCGTTGTAGTAGCTCCTCACAGATGAACTCTGAGATATCCGTCTGTCGCATTGTCAAGTGAGTACCTGGGGTACTGAGTAGCTCGACGGGCATTCTGTAAAGAATATCTAGGGCTTCCGCTGTGATCTGCTTGAGTAGGAGGACGGCGGGCGTGGTGCGAGTGATGGTGACGTATATGTCGCCCTTGGGGTATCCATTACGGTGCGCTTCTTCGTTGGATTTCTTTATAATACGCTCTATTGTGTGTCGTAGCTCTTTTTGTATTCGTTCGAGTCCATGCAACATGCTATTTCGACGCGTAGGTCGAGGAAGGATGACATGGCTATAGAGCAGATTAGATCGCCGATGATTAAATTACATTTGTTCACTATGTGTCCGATGGACTTCGTGCGAGGCTGAGGTCGTGATCAGGAATACGGCCGCGAGGTTGTGTTGGTGTATTAGGGCTATCTACAGATGCAGTAGCAGGCTGATCAAAACCCGTGTTTTGTCAATGACAACGATCTTTAGGACCAGTAAGTCTATCCATGTTGCTTTGTGCTTATGGTGTGGGCTTTACATGAGCCCTGCTTCCTTGGACCCAGCTCAAAACTAAACTCCTTCAAAAGTGGCGACACCTTCCACCTGGCGAAGAGCTGCCCATTCTCCACCAAGATACGTCGGAGCACCTCCCCCCTCACCTCCTTTGAACCAGGCCACGCACCCTCCCACATCCTCACGTATGGCTCCACGACCCCCAAGGCCTCCCTCAGCCACGTCCCTGCCCTCCCCTCCCCAATCCTCCCCTTCCCTACCAACCCCCTCTCCAGCTCCTCCAGCAAAACTTCCCTCCCCCGCCCCCCCTCGACCGCAGCCTGCATCACTCCCAACA